GTCCATGTTTTGGTCCTAATCAGATCATCTAATCTGTCTATACTTTCTTTTAGTCTAGTCTTCTGAACTGTCAGCAAAAGGGATGGTGATGATCCTCAAAACTTGATGCCATTCCGTTTTGATGTAATTACTTTGAGCAGTTTCTACTGATTTTGTGCATATGCAAACACATGTAGACACATAAACGCGCACAGACAGACACAAGCAAACATGCGTAGAGGTTGAGGCATCACTTGAATCAACCGACACCCTTGCTCTTCGTGTCTGCATGCAGCGAGGACGAGTGGGTGGGTCTTCTTGAATATGCTTGTAGGGTTGTTGTCCTGCTCCGACGAGGTCCGTCTTATGAGGCACGAGGGCTTGGCACATGCTCATCGGGTTCGAAAGGGGTCCGCCTTGGAGACGGCCTCGGCAAGGCTGTTCCAGAAGGGCCAATTGGTGCCTGGTCAAGAGGCACCGAGCGTCCTCTTCTGGTGGGATCGAGCTTCGACTCATGTCAACGTCAATTGGCTATTTTACTCAAAATGAAAGTGAGCTCAACATTCACTTCTCAGATGAGCCCTTGTAACCCTACTTTTTTTCACAAGATGTATTAATACTGTTTAGAAAGACTTTGATTTTATGTTTTTTTATTTTTTTTTCATTTTTACATTTAGCTTTTCGTGGCCACTAGTAGAACATTTAGATGGGATGCCTTTAACAATTTTCTTCCAGTTAATGAACGACTTATTCGATTTTACGAAAATTCTTCTTCCAATCCTTCATAACATTAATCTAAGTAGGATGCACTAATCATAAATAATCATCTTGCAAACTACAAAATAGAAGAACAATAGTAGGCCCTATAACATAATAAAATTAAAAAATATATAAAATAATTTTGGTGAGAATTAAAATAATATATCTAACAAGTCTAAGAGGAGAGGAGAGGAGAGAAGAAAGATAATTCCTGCGTGATTTATTTACTTTTCTTTATTCTTTCTTTCATAGCTGTTATTATCAACCTTATTTTTGCCTCTTTTCATAATATAAATATTCATCTTATTTTCCTTCATGTCGACTTGGATGAGCCATTTTTACGCAACCTGGCGGATAGAGCTGTTGCTACTTCATTGTGCCAAATTATCTCTTGCAACGAGAGGATGTCTTATGCCTGCATAGTCACCCTCAAGCGGATAAATGCATTTGACTTGTGAAATTAAAGTGCCAAATGAGCTGTCCCACAAAATGGCAACCGCATCTTCGTTTTGCGTTTCTTGTAATAAATCACTTTTATCATAATTCTTGCGTCTAGCGACTGCAGCAAAGTCGAATAATTCTACCAAAGTCCGCATGAAAAATGACGAAGCCGGGTCCGCATAAATCATGCCATGCCTCCTGGCACAATATTAATTTTGTTTGACGTCAGTCTCGGCTACATTTTGCAATTGTCGGCCATTTTCGAGGATATAAAGTGAACAGACCACTTGGCCAAAGAAATCTTTTACATCGCGGCTTCGCTACATGACGTGGAATACTCAAATCGGATGGAGATGGGTACATGCCTTTGCAGAACCCACCAAGTCACTCTCAATTGAGAACAATCATGACCGTAGAATGTTCTCGCAAGAGGTGCATACAACTTGTTGGCGTCTTCTGCACAAGCCAAATGAGTCATTTATTATGCAGCAAAATGTAATGAGTCACGAGTGGGCCAATAACATTCTGGTCTTGTGGCTTGGCTTGCCAGCAAAAGAGCCGTCAGAATCGGTAAAAACTGCACGTGGGCTTGCTTCAACTACAGCCAGTTAAGTAATATAAAATCAAAATAATTAATTTTATTCAGCATGTGTTAATTCAGTTATTCAGAAGAGGTGACCTCACTCAAAGTGGATGGAATATATGACAAAAATAATAATAATTATTATTATTATATCAGAAATATATTATTATTCATATAATGATAATATACTATACTATATATTATTATTATTGTATTTTTGTAATACATTATATATAAATATAATATTATTATTGTAATCAGTATGCCCTATATTCCATCTACATAAAACTTCTGGCCACATTTTTTTCTTCCTCTTTTCTTTAATAATTATGAATTAATTTTTAAGTTTAGCTTATATATATATATATATATGTTTATTGCTGAACTATCGAGTTATGCAAGGGCTAATTTAACGGACTCTTTACAATCATCGTGAGCTTTGGAGAATCAGGCGCCTAGAAATGAACCTTTTGCCCGCAAGCCATATTATGAGTTGCATGCTTAATTTGGAAAAGCAAAAGTCATGAAGCCTGCATGGTTTGTTAATGCCCACTCGAGTTTCAGTTATTTCCCAAGTGGACAAAGCATTCAGTCGACCGTGGTTTTGCAAGTTCTGCTGCTGGAGCTGGCCCGAATGGGGTGAGAAGAAAGTCGCATTCAACACAACCTCTCTCTCTATCTCTCTCTTTCTCTCTCTATCTCTATCTCTCTCTCTCTCTCTGTCTGTCTCTTTCCTAAAACGGAGAGTCGCTTGCATTCTGTTGACACTGCCGATTGACGGATCGGAGGTAGAGAGTCTGTCCAGCCAGAGCGGAGGAGCAGGATTCTGTGGAAGTGAAAGAGTTGCTGGGCGAATGGAGACCACCGCCGAGGCCCTGCATCGCGGAGCTGGTCGTCCCGTCTTGACGTTCTACGCCGTCAGGGCAGGTGACGCGTGACGCCATGGTCTGACGAGCTCTGTACGTCTGTAAGACAAGGTAGTACAGGCTTGGAACAGGGTACCTAAAAAAAGAGGTTGAATAAAATGCAAGTAGACCTTTTGGTTTGGACTTCAACAACATGAAAAGCCACTTTAATGCACTCTTGTGCTCATAGTGCGTATATTTATAATACAGACAGTTTAGTTTAGGCATCTACTTATCATAATTATAAGTAGCATAGTTGAATGTAGTGGCAGAATGCATATTTGACTTGCCCTATCAGCCAGTGGCACCCATTCCAGCATGGGCTGTACTACCCCAATTGAAGTGCCCTTTTCGGCTGCTGATGAGACCAGATCAGGCGGGCTCGAACTTGGGATCAACTTTAGTTCAGTGGGGACGAGAATCGATTTTGGGCGGCAAGGCCAAATGAAGTGCAATAACATACTACTCATATCGTTGTGGAACAGACTGAACCAGCAATTCTTCATCACTTTACTGCGTTTCGGGCGAATTATGCTCCTGTTCAGCAGAAAGTGGCTCGCGGCTGGACGACGCTTGTCTCTTTCGCGAGTTGTCGCTCTTTGTTGAGGCTGGCAAGACTCGCTAAAGATGCATAATTTGATGTCGGTGCTTCGTCTGGGCATGTACCAAACCGCCAGTTTGTTGCTGAAAAGTAGCATGGAACTTATGGCCAGGCTCCTGGAATGAGTTGAAATGGAATTTGATAACCTCACTCGTCATGGCACTAGAGCTCCCTGAAGAGAAGTTCTCCATTCGTGGAAGTGTTGTGGCGAATTTCTTATTTAAGCCTCAATTGCTCTGATAAACACACACACACACACACACACA